TTGCCATGCTCTTTTCCATAATGGCTGCACCACTTTATATTCCTACCAACAGTGCATAAGGGATTCCCTTTCTCCACATCCTTATCAACACTTATGTCTTGTTTTTTTTATGATAGCCATTCTAACAGGTGTGAGGTGATAGCTCAGTGTGGTTTCGATTTATACATCCTAAATGATTGGTGGTGTTGAACACCTTTTCATGCATCTTTCGGCCATCTGTGGATCTTCTTTGGAAAAATGTCCATTCAGTTCCTCTGTCCATTTTTAATTGGATTGTTTGTTTTTTGGTTGCTTCCAAGCTTTAGCAAATGCAAATAAAACTGCTTAAACATTGTGTGCAGGAATGTAATTTTCAGCTCATTTGGGTAAACGTCAAGGTGCTCCATTGCTGAATCATATGATAAAATTATGTTTAGTGTTGTTTGAAACTGCCAAACTGTTTTCCAAAATGGCTGCACCATTCCCATTGCCACCAGCAATAAATGAGAGTTTCTGTTGCTCCAAATCCTCACTCACATTTGGTGTTGTCAGTATTTTGGATTTTACTCATTCTAATAGGTGTGTAGGTGAAGTCTCACTCTTGATTTTATTCACAATTCTCTAATTATATATGATGCTTTCATATGCTTATTTGACATCTGTGTATCTTCTTTGGTAAGGTGTTTGTTTATATCTTTTGGCGATTTTTTTGATTGGGATTTTTGTTTTCTTATTGTTGAGTTTAAGACTCCTTTTAATTTTCTGGATACCAGTCTTCTATTAGATATGTGTTTTGCAAATATTTTCCCCCAGTCTGTGACTTATCTTTCATTCTCTTGATTTCTTATACTTTTGAAAGTCTTTTTGTCTTTGAAAATATCCACAAAATTTCCCCAGGTTGTACTCTTGGGCATGTAAAGTGTCTCTCTCTCTCTATGTAATTGGGACCATATTTTTAAAACATGTTAATATTTTTTCTTTTCCATTTCCAAGTGTATAACCTTGTGTGTATTCTTTCTGTTTTGAGCGGGGAGGGGAGACTAGATTATTACGAAAGGAATGAAAATAGAAAGAAAGAATTCGTATTCAGTTCTAACAACTAAATTTGGATTTTTGACTTCTCAGCAAGAGAATTGGCTTGGAAGACAGGTTTGTTTAAAGATAATCTTTTCTTCTAAATTATTTCATCAGATCTTTCATTCTAAGTAAGGCCTGTTAGACTTGATAGTAGAATTTTAATGTACGGGAAGTCTGGCAGGAAGATGCAGGTCAGATGGAAAGGTCAGCTTTATTGGTCTGGGGAGACTGACAGAGGGAAAAGGAAAATGGAGGCGGAATTAGGAAATCAGATGTCAGGACCCTTGTCCTTTCCCTCCCCTGTGAAAGGCAGATAACTCATGGGGTGAGGAAAGGTTAGAAACATTTAGATAAGTATGGGAACACAGGAATATTGGAGAGTGGAGCACTTCTCAAAAGTCCAGGTGGGATAACTCACGCCTAACTAGTTACCCAACCAGAGAGCAGACCAGACTGGCCCCTTAGCTACACAGACTAAAGACTAAAGGAAGGCAGTGCATGGATTTAAGGCTTTTTTTCTCCCACAGCTGACACTCAATTACTTCCTCTTATTACCCAGATGCCATCCTGGGTAAGGGGACGATAAGTTGGTAGAACTCCAAACAAAGCACCTAAACAGACTGAATCTTCCAAGAGACCTTAGATCAGCCTTAATGTGGAGCTGCAATTTAAATGGACTGAATTTTAAAATATTGAAATCTGAAAGGAACTCTTTAAGCCTGAAGAAACTGAGGTATTGTTAATTGCAAGTTTCAAAGTTTAAGTTTCATAACAACTTGGTGGATGGGAAGGCTGATGGGAAAGTTCATTAGAGAATTTTTTTTTCTTTGTGTGTCTGTCTCTATGCATCTAAGCATCATATAAATTTGCTACTCTGTTATATAAATCTCCCTTTTTTCTATGTCACTCATTTGTCAATTCATCCACTCATTCATCCCCTTGAATTGATTCATTGAATCAAATAAAATAATACATGTTATGCACCTATCAGAATGTGGGGCACATAAACATACTCAATATGTGTTAGCTACTACTATTATTATCAATATAGCATTGTCATTACTATTAATTTTCTGCATACCGTGTAGTCTGTTTCCTCTGGGTTAGTTCAGAATCCCTTGTTAACACAGCTATAGAGGAGACGGCACTGTAAAAAAGTTATCAATTTTTTATTTTATCATGTATAGTGAGAAAAACGCCATCAATTAACTCCATTCAAAAAATTTTTTAAAATCCTATCTGTGAATATAACCAATATTTTGTAATAACTATAAATGGAATATAACTTGTAAAAATTGTGAGTCACTATGTTGCATACCTGAAACTTACATTGTACATCAACTATAAGTCGGTTAAAAAAAAAAACTAGCAGTGTAACACTGGCCAAATTAAAACAAATCGTATCTGTGAGTTTAGAAATATTGTAGGCATGGTTACTATAGAAATGAATAAAATTCATCCCCTGACAAGCGAAGCTTGCATTTTAGTAAAGTTACAGTAAAAGCTGCTTATATGGTTCATAAAGTGTAAAGTTTGCTACATTAGAAATCTGCTTAGAGCTTCAGTTAGGGGTTAAAAAGAAGTAGTCAGTGTTACCTGCGCAAGAAATTCAGGACAAGGATTCAGAGAAGAGGGGAAACTTGGGAACACCTTGAACAATAGTGAAGTGGCTGAGGGGGCGGGCGTCCCACACTGAGGGACCAGGGTTGGCAAAGGCACAGAGGCAGGACACAATCTCATGGGCTGAGATGACCAGAGCGGACAGTGGGGCGGAGGGTGGGAAATAGGACTGTGGTAACAAATGAGGCTGAATTGCTAAGCAGGGGATTGATTAATCCGAGTGGTAGACAGTTCTCGATCGTTCCCCCGTCAGACATGGACGGTGCTGGGGACACAGGAGTGGTCTCTTTGATGGACTTGCATTCTGAATAATCACAGGTCCCTTCTGTGGGAAATGGGGCTTAGTGAAGAGGGAATGAACATGGAATTATTTTTATTGTAGGAAGGTCACTGGGATGGCTGTACGAAGCAATGGGGGCTTGGTCGAGGACAGAGAGACTAGAGATAGATGACTGTCTATTAGTTCAAATGAGAGGAGCTAAATGAAGGCACTAGAAGCAAGGATAGAAAGAAGAAAGCTTTAATATGAAGGTTGATAACTAGTCTGAATCTGTTAAGTCCTGGTGACTGCGTGGACCTGGGGGGCACAAGAGAAGGTAAAGCTTGAATGGCCCAGAGCTATGTGACTTGTGTGAGACGATACCTTCACTGAGTTTGTTGTCTGACCCACTTTTCCAGACAAGCAAGAGCCTGGGGTGCTGAGCCTGGGCTGGGGCGTGGTGTTCTAGGGACTGAGGCCAGAAGGGGTATGTTCAGAGGCCGTGGTGGGAGAGGATGGGATTTGGTGAACAGAGGTGGCATGACTTGCCCTTAGGCTGCAGCTTGTGAAACGGAAGGGGAGAGTTCCACGTGGCTCCACACTGTTCAAGGGGACTAAGAAGGGGGCCCTTCGCTATGAGGCCATGGGTCTTAGGCAGGTAGCAGAGGAGCTCTCAGGGAAGGGTGTGGAAAAGCCACAGGATCTCCAAAAAGACCTCTGCATTCATGAGCTCCGGTTCCATTTCAGTCTGAGCACACAAGCCGCGAGCCAGTGCTGATAACTAAAGGGTGAAATGGCATTTCCGTGAATGCTCACTTTTAGTCATTCTTTAGCAGGCTGGCTTTGACTCCTCTTGGCTTCTTCCAACTCCAGTAAATTCCATCACTCATTCTAAACATACCTCCCACCTCAGCTCTGGAACCCATTCATCAGACTCAACCATTTCAGCCAATATATCACTTACTCAAAGGAGGCAGATGGAATGAAAATGCTCCATGAGGGGTCTTAACAGCAAAAGCTATGTACCAGGGGAATTATGGACATAGAAAGAAACATTGGCAATATTTTTTCCATTTTATTATTTTTTTCCCATTAGCATAAGCAAGATAGAATCCTTTCCGGGTCCAGACGTCCCCCACATCTCAGGCAGGGGATGTGACTCTGGTGATGGGAGCTGCTTGGTGTCACCTTTAGACTGGTTCTTCCACATGGCTCACCTCCTCCCAGGCTGCCTCGTGACAGCAAACCAGAAGTTAATTTTTTTGTTAGTTAAAAATAATGAACTATTTTGCATTTGCCAATGAATATTAGCAGCACATGGAATCTTATCTGACAGTCATTTGTTCTCTTTTCTCATCTTCCTAGGTCAGACCAATGGTCTATTAAGGAAATTTAAGAAATACAGGGTGAAATTAGGTGAAAATTAGGAAGAATGACAGATAGATCAACTGGGAAGCAATGCGATAAGCGTGATGTAGTTTTTCACACTGTTTTGGAATTAGACGCACATACACAAAACATCAGACAGCCTACGCTGGGAGGTAGAGAGTGGAGAAATTCTCCAAACCCAGAAAGAGCAGATTTTTATTGTGCGCCTGAATCCTGAGCAAGGCTGAGGAGGGAAAAATAAAAAATAAGATTTGAGGGGAGGATAAGAAATTCAATTTTGGATATGTTGTCTTTGATACGATCTGGGGACATGCAGATGGAGAATACAGCATTAACTCAAGCTATGAGAGTCCCTGGATAGTAGTGACATTTAGAATATCTGTCCTGTGTAACACTCAAGATTGTGAGAGTTAAATAAATCCATGTGAATGCACTCTACAAAACTATAAAGCATTACGTAATCCATTGTTTTTATTACTATTTTGAGAAAACCAGCTTATAGACACCCTTTCTGTGTTTTCTGTAGGAAAAAAAGTAGTATTTTCTTTTCTCCAGAGAAGTCCATGATTTTCTATGTTCCTCTTACCCCAACTACTTCGCCCCTGACCTCTGCACAGACGCTGAGGCCTGAGGTTTCTGTAAGCCTCTCCCCTTTGCTCATCTCACTGTGGGCCACTGTAAGCGCAGAAATACATCACAGCATCCTCCAGCTGGGAGTCTGAGATCCTGAGACTGAAGGATTTGGCTGCTTTCTGGAAGTTCACAGAGTAGCGATTAGCTGTTGCATTCTGTTGCTTATAAGCTTCTTGGTGAATAATGAAAATCATCTCCCCTCTGGGAGGCTGCTTGTACCAGAACAAATAGTGGTCACTCTGAACCGTGTTATACGTACAGTCCAGGGTCGCAGTCTGTGCCTCGCGCACAGACACTTCTGGCTGAGGCTGAGTGACCATTTGGGCCACGCTGGCTCCTGTGGGGAAGAGGAGAGAAGGGACCACGCTGGGTGTCACACGAGAGAGAAAGCAGGCTGGCTCCCAAGCTGGTTCCCGTCCCCACCCACCTTTCTTCTGCTTCATCCCGACTCCAGGCAGGTATGTCAGCTTTCAGCTGGGCTCTGTGAGGCAGTGCTGTTCAACTTCCATGTTTCACAGTCCCATTAGATAACATTGTAAATAAAGACCTACACCTTCCTTACCGAGACAGGTGGAGAGCAGAGCTGCCCACAGCAAGCTGACAGGCGTCATGCTGACAGCTGTCCCCTGCAGACTGAGATGTCTCTCGCTCTGATCTGGGCTCCCCACTGTGCTCAGTGACACTCGAGCTTCCAAGCAGGAAGTGATATGACAGGGGGTGGGGGACGATGTCTCACTGAGGGAAGTTTTCCCAGTGCTTTTTGGTCTCGCTTCAGAAAATAGACCATTGACTATAACTTCAAATGAAAATGAAAACTATTTTCTGAGTTTTAAAATTCTCGAATGACAATAAAGAGAAGAGGGAGCTGGAAGAATGGGGACCTGGGAACCTACGCAGAAGTAACAGGGTTTTATTTGCAACAGTGGCAAACTCTGTAATTTTTCTTGGCATTTAAAAGAATTAAAGTGACAAAGCAAATATGATAAACGAACAATTAATCATGGGTGATAAGAATATACTTGTTATATTAACATATTCAATTTTATAATTTCTCGAAAGAATGAGAAAAAAATGTATGTTTGTGACTGAAAAGAGCACTCACTAAACTCAGAGGTAAGTGGAAACAATCCAAAGTGTCTGACTGTGCTTATATTTTCCGTGGACACTTACAAAAAAAATAAGATCCCAATTGTGCCATATTAAGAAGCTCTGAAGTAACTACTGCAGGAGTTCTCATCAGCACTGAATTGCCTCCAACAACTGATAGCAAGAGTTGCTCCCATCATTCTCATTCCATTTTGATAATGGAATGAGAACAAAGAGCTTTTAAAAATAAAGTCATATGATTCATTAGAAGTTTGCATTTCCAGAGGGAGTGACAGCAGTACTCACGTAACTCCAGAGTTGGGGTCCGCACGCCAAGTATGGATGAGGTTCTGCTACATACTGGCTGCTGTCTGAGAGCACAGGTTCTCTGTAACACAGAAGCAGGGGGCTGAGTCTTCCCACTCAGAGAGATGTGCGGGGAATTCTAAGCGCTGGGACCAGCCCTGAATGAGGCTGCTAAAATCTCTTGTGCTCCCAAACGCAGTTGGATAGCAATGGAAGAAGAAGCAACCAGAATTTCTTCCAGATCATCTCTATCCTTGTCCCATGATTTGAAGTCCTGTATCTTGGTTTTGAATTTCCAAAATCAGCTCCGATTCAAGGATTTGCATGCAAGCGGTTTATTTGCAGGGGGTTCTAGGAAATACTAGTGAGAAATGAAGCAGGGAAGGGAAGGCAGCCAAAGCAGGGTGTTATCATCAAGCCAGTTACCACTATGGGGAACTGGAGCTTAAGCCAGCTGGGTAACTCTGGGAGGTGGTCTAGCATACCCTCTGGAGTTACCCCAAGTGAAGCATAAAGGAGCTAAAGTGATCTGTAACTCGCTGTCCACCACTGACTGAGGGCTGCTCTGGGGCATTAACTGGCACATCTGACTCGTCCTGTACATTGGCCACATTGGGCATGGATGTGAGGCAAAGTGATCCAAACACTGTGCTTACACTAGCTGCTCCTTCAGTTCACAGTCATCCCTAAATGTGACTCTCCCTCCTTCCACCCTACCTGCCCCTAGAGAACAGCAGGATGCTGGGTGCTTCTTAAAGACCCGTTACTTCTAACCTCTGGTTACCCCTTCGACTCTTCTCCGGCCAGCTGGTTGAACTTCTGTCCCCTTTTGAGGAGGAGCTATATGTGCCATCATGTTGTTTTCTCTTTTCACCCTGTCCTTTATAAACTTTGTGCCCTTTTCCCTCAGATTTTTGTACTTGATCTTCTAAGCCAGTCTTTTTGGAATGTCAGAATACATTCTTTCACCACAGATTTTGTATTCTCGATATATTTGTAGAAGTCTGCAAAAGAGCTCAAAGGCAAGTGTTTTACTCTGTTTCCTCTATTCTTTACTGCTCTCTTCTTCCTGATAGTAAGCTGCAGGTTTTTGAACAGAGTCAGGACTTCATACTGAGAATCAAAATGAATCAGATGGCATTTGAAAACACTATCCCTCTGCACATGGTCTTCAATGGGATATCTGACATTGTTATACAGAGCTCCTCATGCTCCGCTTTGCTCAGAGCAGAGTCAGTGCCCTGGGGCCCTCCGAGAAGGAGTGCAGGGCTTAGCAGGGCTTAGGTGC